ATTTTATTGTGTGAGATTTCATATTGTTATTTATACTTTTCTAAAACACGTGACATTTAAATTTGAATGATATTGAAAAAGTATAATTATATGATATTTAGACAAATTAATAGAAACATTACAACTCCATCCATTTTATCAATATCTCATATATATTTATTCAGAACGTGCTGAACCTAAGTGGCAGACTCGCATGCTTCGGAATCCTATGTAGCCAAATTACATGCTTCATTATTAGATTTGGGTCCAACTCAAAAATAATTTGGTGTGGATTATCCATAAATATGTTGATTATTTATGGTCATATTACATGTATTAATTATATTTTAATTTTGTCATATAGCATCCAGAAACATGCGAGTATGTCACTTAGACTCTACTCGTTTGAATTAATATATAGGGGCGATAAGTTTTTGTAAAAAAGTAAATAAAATTTAAAATATTTTTTATCATTAATTTTAAAATTTAAAAAATATTTTTTTAATAAGCACCGTGGAATACACTGATATTGTATTAGTAGTAATTTTATTATGAAAGTCTGATTTTTTTTATTTATTTATTTTTTTGCGAAAACCAAATAATCTTCATTCAATCAGCCATTTGATCGTACATGAAAAAAAGAACAAAATTGAGTTATAAAGAGCCGTGTGAAATGAATTGGACAAAACTTTTATAAAGTTGATATTTAAATACTTATGGACTGTTTTGCCTATTTTAACAATGTGTGATGTTTAAATGCTTTTATATAGTGAAAAATGTTTATTAGAGTGCCTATTTGTGTAAGGTTTGAAATTTAAATTCAAAGTGTTAAAGGGTGGGTTAGTAAAAGAAACCTTTTTATGCTCATGTTTAAATTTCAAACAATGGTGTAATCACTGTAAAAATTTAAATAATACTTTAAATTTATTTAAGTTATGGTTTTTGTTTTATAAAATATTTTACTAAAATATTTGAAAATCTTAAATTTAGATGTGAAGTTCATGATGAATTAAATTTTTATGCTCATGTTAGATCGAATTAAATTTTTTTACAAGT